ATATTAAAAAATCACACCACAAACGCTTTTCATTTCTACATTTGACGCATTCCGCCGTTTCCTGAATAAGCACTGACAGCTCAAGCCTTATAAACTAAGATTATCCTAACAGTCATGGGTAACTGTTGGAAACTTACAGCAGTTATGAAAATAGCATATTATTCGCGAAAAAACGTCATTTCAAGTGACACGCAAAGACTTCGAAAAATAAATTCGGAATATAAATCCTACCATTTTTCACCACGACGATAAAAGGGCATAGGATGGATTGCTTATTAAATATCAGTTCCATTAAACAAAAAGTCACGGTGATCTAAGGATAAGTTGAATTTATAATTACTTTTAGAACAAAATCATAAATTAATCAAAATAAAAGATCACTTTTATACAAATAATTGTGCAATGTTTATTTAATTTGAGATTATTCGATAAAATTTATCGATTGTCGCAATTCCGCAAATTGCAATTTCGATAGCAAACAGATCACTACGTTTTCTTAGTGGGAGTGAAGTAAATAAACAAATAGATAAAATTCGAACATTCCCGAATCGATCACAATTACTTATTCTTCAGCCTCCATTAAATAATACATTGTAAGTATTTTTAACAGGAAAATAATAAACATAAAAAGAAGAAGAGGGAAAATAACGCCTATTAAACATTAAAGCTTCTTCCTTTTCGGTTGCTTCGCGAAACAGTCACCCCGGGGTAAACAAACAAAAAAAAAAATTCTAGAGAAATAAAGTTTATTACAAACTATAAACCAGATTTACCCCTTTCCCCCGTGCTCAATTTTATGTTTTCCCACCTTTTCTCATGCTAGGTTGTTATTTTCCTTTCCTTTTTTTCGACAGAAGATGTTGTTTAACCTTGGCAGAGGACATCAAACTACATCATCATCTCATCGTCCAACCTCGCTTATTACTCTTCATCTCCAAACAGTGAAAGTGAAAGGGGTTTTAGTGCAGCAACAGATGAGGTCACGTGGCCATCGACCCGTTCATGCGACGACATGCCAAGCAAGTCCTCCTTCTATCCGGCCGAATGATTTTAAAGTTGATGTAGGTTTCTTGGTGCAGTCTGTTTTAAATGACCACACGTGTCTTAATCTGTGTGGGATTTTAGAAATCTTCTTCCCTTTTATGTAGTAGAAGTTTCGAACACCTCGAACCCCTACAGTCAATAGAAAAAGAAAACAGCGATGCCACTCCACAGACGATTGGTTCTTTGCATAATTTTTAATCTGTAGAAAAGATCGTTCACAGTATTTATTTATTTATTTGGTGCAATGTAGCACCACAGTAATAAGAAGTTTTAAGCATCCAAAAAATTTAGCCTTTGTCAAAGATTTTTTTTTTATTAAATGTAACCCAAAATTACACGTTACGTAAAGAAAACTATCCCGTTAGCTTTATACGTAAAGAAAATTATGAAATTTTAAAAAGCTTATCTGAACATCAAAGATATTGCATCATAACTTCTATCAAGGAACATTTTTATATTAGCACTATGCAAAAGAGTCTATGCAAAATTTCTAGGTGTCAGGACTAATTTATAGGAGACAGTATGTTATGGAATGTCATTTAATTTAGGTCCAAAATTGCCTAGTCATCTGAGTTAGGTTCAAAACTGCCTACCAATCTGAGTTAGGTTAGAATTTGTAAGGATACTGAGATGAACGTTCCTCAAATTTACTACTTTGAGATGGGCTGGTCAATGGTGCAAAGACGCCATCCCGTGAGCGACGCATATATCTACTGCAAGCACCTCTCTGTTCAGAATAATAATCTGATATTCCATGAATTTTTTTTTTTAAGCAGTAAATATTTTTCTATACATAAACTTAGAACTAGGATAAGAGCAAGGCAATATTGGTTATACAAAAGCTATCAAATCTACCCCCAAAAAACGTCAAAAAGATTCGTGTGGCAATTTATCTTTTCACACAAAATTTGTCCAAATTGTGAATTTGGACGTAGAATGTGTCCAAATAAGTTTAAGTTTTAAATAAGTTTGTTTTCATTTTAATGAGTGGTATAAAATGACTAAATACATTACGATATCGATGCCCATTTTGAGGCAAAATAATATCTTCTCACGGAAAGTGTTGCAATTTGAAATGATCAGTTTTAGAAGGAAAATCATTGCAATTTAAAGATCTCCCATTTTAAGGGAAAAGTGGAATGTATACCATTTTAAAGAAGGTATTCCATTTCGAAATAGAAAATAATCCCTTTTGGTGTAAAAAATATTTGTTTAAAGGTGAAAAATTTTATCATTGATTATACTTTATTTTGAGTTATGTGCATCATTTTTATGTTCAATTATTGTTGAATAATTTTTTAGGGGCCACATGTAAAACATTATTACCATATCATATGTAAACAGTTCTATTCGATACCTTTAAATTATGTGACCTTAGAGAACGGACCCATCTTTGCCCGTGGCCATGCGATAATCAGGTCCTGGTCTTTTAGTGACATCTTTTACCGGTTTCTAGACTGAGGGAAAACTTCGCCCAAAAAACTAACCACTTCAATTGTACCAAATTAAGGCAATAATTCTTGTCACAACAACACGCAAAGCCTTGGAACAAACCTGTTTCCAACATGAATTCCATGTACTTGACACAGAGCCTCTTTCGAAAAAGGGGCCCAACACTAGGAGACGGAAAGATGTGGAACCTTTTGGAACACAGGGTTACTGGGACCGGCATTTGCGTGATTAAATGCTATCTTTTTTTCAAAAAAAAGAAAGAAGAAAAAAATGATACCAATTTTTTTTCCCCACTCAGAATTGTTTTTTTTTTTTTTTTTTTTTTTTTTTTTAATTTTTTTTTTTTTTTTTTTTTTTTTTCTTCTGATAGGTTATCAAACATCTACAGTTCATTCTCCTAATTAACACTAATGTATCGTTCATCATGTTACACTTCTTCATTTGGAATGTGTTTCTTTTTTCTTTATCACGGACTCTTTAATCAGACTTATTGCCACCAACGGATTATAAATTGAACTACAAGGACAAAAGCTTCCAGAATACATTTTTATTTATTTATTTACTTATGAAATTTTCGCCTAATAAGTAACATTACAACTAGGTTGATAAAAACTAATCTACCAAAAGTTTTTTTTCTTCTCATTCACTAATTGACTTGCACATAAATATCTCTAAGCGAGGGGACTTTAATATCTCTTTCTAGGGACCTCAGAAGTCAATGATTTAACCCTTTGACGCAGAATTTTTACGAAACATATTTAGAATAAAATAAGTGGAAAATATTGTATTTAGCAATTTTATAATTTATGCTTATGAAATACAGCATGAAATACGGGTGTCGTTTTCAATGTTAAAGGTAAAATCTTCCAAACACGGCTTACTTCAAATTAACATTTATTTACAGTTACTTAGATTTAAGAGAAACAATTAATCCTTATTGAAATTTGTTTCGTTTACAAAATCAATTATTGTGATATTTTTGGGGGAAAAAAATTCAAATTACTCTTTTTGGATTTTATATTTTTAGCACTAATATAATTCCGATAGTCTAGTAAACAGATTTTTACGATTAAACTGTTTTTTTTTTATATTTTAAAACTACAAAATATATTTTTGCAAGTAGTTAAAGCGTCATAAAAAAAATTATACAAAAGGGACATCGATGTCTAACTTGCGTTAAAGGGTTAAATAGATTTAAAGGAGTTGGTAATAGCCAAACAGCCTTGCCTATTTTGTGATTAAACCAAGGGCTGAGCAGGAAAGCTTATCGCCCTGAGCTAAATATAAAATGTAGATTTTATCACAAGCATATACCAAGCATTAACAAGCATATACCAATCAGGAAGCATAAAAAATAATGCCTAATAAAATAATATTCCTAAACATCTAGGTCCAAATCTATTGTCCGGTTTAAGACAGAGTGGTCGTAATTACATCACTGAAGGCCCCTCATAATACTAAGGGTCAAAAATATTACTGAAGGGTCTCATATTATACTACAAGTAGATCTAAAACAGATAAAATATCAATTCTCCATGATATAAACATTTTTGAAGAATTTGACTTCAGAATAGTAAGGTTATACGTTTTTTTTTATTTTTTGTTTTTTTTTTAGTGTTTTGAAAAATGGAAAAGGATTAAAAGCATCCTATTAAGAAAGAACTTGATAAGACGACGTCCATAATCAATTTATTTTCCAAAATTATTTAAAACAGTGTATATTTCAATGAAAAGAAGACTTCCAATAGTGTAAGCCCAGCTCAATCGGACAATTTAATGAGTGGCATTGAAGCAGCGGTGTGAACAGGGGCCCCCATCAGGGGGGAAGGTGGGCGCACAGTGCGCCCACTTAAAGCTTGGGGGGGGATTTTTACACTAAATAAGACGAATAGTTTGGGGGGGAATTTAGAATTTGCCCAAGAATGCTCCCAAGAGCTTGGGGGCCACTAGGTGTGAATACACTTAGGTGCGTTAATCCACAATATATATAAGTGCGCCCTACCTTAGACTTACCACAAAACATTTAAAGTTATAATATAAAAACAAAAACACTTTGTTGAAGAGATATTCGAATATTTATAATAATTAATTATATTTTAATTTAAGGTAGTTAAAATCGTACTTGGATGAAAATGAGAAATTTAGAGAAAGGGTACTTAATTCAAACATTGTATGCACTTACTACATGTATACATACACTTACCATGTTGAAATAAAATTGACCTTTATAATACATGAAAATAACACACTGTCTTATAATAATTAAATCCAAAGTTTAATTAAAAGTTATTATTATTTTTTCAAGATGATAGATCTTTGAATTCTGAAGAAAAAAAAAGCGAATAGATGTGCTTTTAACGGAAACAAAAGCTTATTTTACACAACAGTTATATAAACATAGAATAGAAAGGAAACAATAATAATTTCTTTCTGCAAACGGCAAAGTAACTTCAAAAACTGTCACTTTTTTAAATAAAATAAAAATAATATTATCTAAAACTTACCATATACCGGGCTCTAGGTGAGTATTTATTCGCTCAGGACTATCAAACGTATGACCTGAAAACACAAATAAAAAGGACTATTTATTACTAAGCCGATCAAAATCGAAATGAAGTGAGTTAAGTTTATACCATCACGAGTGAAATCATAACATATTCCTCAGTTACAGATATTTTAGAATAAATATTACTTTCGTCAGCGATACCAAAAATGAAAAATATCAGGTTTTAAATTTCTGGGAAATAATAATTGCTAAATAAATGCGCAGATAATTCTAGAATCGATTCGAAGAAAATATTTTCATTAGAAAAAGCGCGGTTTTTGAATTACGAGCAATTTTCGTTGTTTCATAAATACATCTCATTTTAAAGAGACACAATGTTTAGTTTTTCAGATATCTGATTCGTGATGCGTATTCGATGGTATATTTTCCTATAAGTATAATTGGAGATTTAAAGGATTAAGAACGACAATTTAGACAGACGAGCACCGACTACGAAATAAATTTTCTTGTGTTAAAGGCAACGGTATTGTTTTGTCGCCTGTGTGCTTTAGTTTTTAGAGTCTTTATCTACCACGGCTTGGGCTGGGTTTCGAATCTAATGTAATCAATGTCTATGGACGGTTGGGAAGCATGGTACGGAGGCCGGGTGAATACTACTTTCATCTGTTCTCTGGTCTGAATTGTGATAGTGTAATGTGCACTTGTGCTTGTGGTGTCTTCGATTCATCACTAAGGATGAACCTCAGACCATCACGAATAACTTTTTAGTGTACGATAATACTCGTTCGGCATTCAAGAACCAAGCCCACAGTGTGCGATAGTACTCGTTCGGCATTCAAGAATAAAGCCCACAGTGTACGATAGTACTCGTTCGGCATTCAAAAATAAAGCCCATAGTGTACGATAGTACTCGTTCGGCATTCAAGAATCAAGCCCACAGTGTTTTTTCATGCTGGCAATCTCGAGTTTTTATCCGATTTTGCTTAAAAATTTAACAGCATAATTGAAACGTAATTTGTTCAGCAGATAGAGCACATCAGTTTTATTACATGTTATAGTTTTTGATTACTTAACTGTTTTACTCAGGCTTTATCAAATTATCAATTAATTAAGTATTGATCATTATTGAAGTTGTGGCATAACTAACTACCACTACAAATATTAAATACCAAATCGCTAGTATATAAAACATGTTAACTCGATTCTATCTGGAGGTACCTTTTGATAGATGACGGTTGACGCAGTCTATAAATAAATCCCCACAAAGTACAAAGCATCGATTTGCTTAAATTTTATTAAACCAGATGATTTTATACGACCTTACGTTACGAACTGTTACTCGCAAATATTATTCACGATGTTACGGCAGAAAAAGTTTTATTTTCTTGAAATTAAGTAATATTTTACGAATAAACTATTGCTTGCAGATATCATCAATATCTATTACAATCTTACGAGCAAAAGTTACAAATGTTATCCACGATCTTACGAATAAAACATTCAATCTACGAGTGAGAGTTGCAAATATTATCTAAAATCTTGAGAATGAAACGTTTCTTGCAAATATTATCTATTATCTTACGAATACTTTCTTATATTATTTACTAACTAACGCAATCCTCCATATAGTTATTTACAATCTTGCATATCTAACCGTTATTTGCATATGACCATGGATAATATATTACTTGGGAACCGTTTATGAAGGGAAAGAAAAGATGACTATCATGAGAATGACGATGATTATGACGATTATGAAAATAAAAATCCTTTTCTTAAACATACATACTCTAAATATAGAAGTTCTAAATTTATAAGGGCAACTTCAATTAGAAAATAAGCCAAAAATTCCTTTCTCAATTTAGAATCCTTAGAGTTTCTAAACATATTTCAAATGATATCGCAGCATTGTTATCGACAAATAAATTTCAAAGAGCATCATTAAATCTAGCATCTCCTTTTATTAAGAAAAAAAATCAAACAAAGGCTTATTATGTCTGCCCGCCTTTTCATCCCGCATTGTTTGAGGTGTCAAAACTTAATCATTTGAAGGGGGGGAAAGAATAAAAAAGAAAAAGAAATCATCTTGCGCACACATTCTTTTTGTTAGATTGGCGTCCCTCAAAACATACGCTTCAGCGATTAATGAGTTTCTTAAAAGTTTTCATAAAAATCTTCTTAAATGGCTGAATGAAGTGTGAATATCAAATTTGAAAGCCTCATAAGGGATCAAGATAAAAAAGAATGCATCATTAATTAAATCTGGAACACTGACTCAAGGTGTTATTTCCCTCCTACTAAACCACTGAATGGAAAGAAATTAATTCAGTGGTCACTTCTTCTACCTTGACGCTTTTGTTTCGCCTCTTTGGTAAATAGAGTATTAGATTGGCGATGGCGGAGTTTTTCCTTGGCTTAGATTAATTTCTACCTGTTGAAACCCGAAAAAGTAATTCATAAAATCTACAAAAAATGTTCCTTTTAACTCAAAACCTCACTTGATTTTCGTTTTTAAATTTTTTAGCCTTAAAGTTGCTTCCTCACTGTTATTGGAAAGCTTTATGCTAACAAGAAATTTGTTAAATTAACGTATCGTATAATTTAATTAATTATGTGGGAGATTTTAACAGTAGTAGAAGAGATAAAGAGTTATTAAAGTTAATAATACATAAGAGAGATATATGAGATTTGTAACTGTATTAGTTAACTATTTTAGAGGCTTACCAGTGTCAGCTTATTAAATGAGAGACTTTTAACAATATCAGTTTATTATGTGAGGAGCTTTTAACAGTATCAATTAATTATATAAGAAAAATTAACAGTATCAGTTAGTTATATGAATTTTTTTTTTTTTAAAAAAAAGCTTAAAAACATAAAATAATTTAAAAGTGGCTGTTAATAATGTGAGAGGATTCATTAGGATCATGTTAGGATTATTAGGTCTTATTAGGATCATATAATTGAGTGAGGAGAGTTAAGAGTATCAGACAGCTATGTGAGGTGATTAAACAGTAGCAGATAATTGCGTGAGGATATTTAAGATCAGTTAACTGTGTGAAAGGATTTATGATTATCATTTAATATGAAGATATTTAACAGTTAATTCATATAGCTGTTAATTATATGAAAGAAAGAAATAGTTTAAGAGTCTAGAGAGAGTTAAGAGAGTTTAAGTAATAGTTAGAGAGAGAATAAATTGCGATTTGCATTAATTTCTTTATACTTTAACCAGTTGTTTACTTTACACTTAGTAATATTTAAAAAGAAAAAAGGTTATGTTTTGCTAAACTTAACAAATTTACATAAAAAAATGTGCACTTGAAAAAAAATTTGCTTAACAGGTTTTTATCGAAAAAGATGAACAAGAAATTATAAGTAAAAAACAAAGTTTCAAAAAAGATAGAATAAAATTGAACAAAAATTCCGGAATCTCACCAACATATCTACCAAGTAGTTTGACCTAATTTCAAAAACGAGTCTTCGAAACGGGGAATGAATAAAAAGAAGGAAAGAGGGGGTCAGAAGATCGAAAATATTTAGTCTACCTTGTTCTAAAGTCCTTGAGTCTACCTCACCAGACGTTTCTAACTTCTCACTTAATAATAAGCTTCTTTTTTCACGTGTAATTGATTATATTTGTTCCAAAATCCAAAGATATGAGTCATGATTATTCCTCAATGATTCTCATTGCTGCGTGAATTATGATGAAAGCATTTTACGAGAGCCAAAATATAAAAAAAATTTCAATTTACAATTACATGAGGCATACATTAGCATATTGTGTTGGGGAAAAGAGAATTATTTATATAGTGGGAGCCCCTTCAAAAAACTCAGTTTGAGACAGTGGCGTGCATTGTGGTAACGGCCTGTAATATCCAATAGAAATGAGATGGGCTCACTCCGAAAGCCCGGACTCGTTTATTGAAAAAAAAGTTTCGACCGGGCTCGAAGACTCTAGATAAATTTTCATAAACTTTTTTACTATATTGAAACAAAAGCTTGGTTTAGTTATTAAGTATAAAAAATTTAATATAAGGTATCAAAAAGTACCGCTTTGCGAGAATAACACTAATTGTTAAATGAAAAATGAATTATCTTTTTTTTTTTAAATCTGAGATTTTGATTCTTGTTTTAGTCATCTTGGAGTATCACTCGGTACTATTACCAAGCACGGGATGCCATTTATTGATGGGTTGACGTGGGCGAAATGCAATTAGTTCGCGTGGCGAACTTAGGCCTTCAAATAACGCGGTGAGATATTCTATTAAATAGCAATCAATGTATCATGAAAGTATAAATCTTTTAAATTTAATAAATCCATAAAATTAACGGTTTTCAATGAGGGCTTCTGATTGGGAATCTTATAGATGATAATAAAAAATAAAAAAAAACTTGAATGTTTGCTCTTGAGAACAATTCTCAATTTTCTCACTCTCAATTCTAGATGCTTTTTGTTTCACACATAAGTAATAGAAAGGGTTTTAGCGACTAATTTCCTTGTATACACATCAAAGGACTGCCTAGACCACAAAATTTGGTTTCTGATCAGATATATATAGCAATAAAAAAAAATACTTTGAATAACTTTTGATCTAATGATTAGATATTCACACACTCTATCTTAATGTGATTCGGGGTGACCTCAAATCTGCTAATTAGTTTGCACAAAAAGTAGTTAAAGTTGCGAAATCTGACACAAAAATGTCCTTCCTCTGATTAATTCCCCCCAGCGGATTCGAATTTCTGATCCCCGAAATCTGGGAAGTACGTAATAGTCAAGAGAGTGGTCTAAAGTTTGTCAAATTTGCTATTTGCATAATTCGCCATATCGAGAAATTTTGAAGCGAATTGAAAAAAATTTGCACACAATTATAAATTCTTTTATCCTGAAATAATTCGACACCGAAAATTTTTTGATATTTATTTATTTTTTATTACTTTATTTAATGATAGTCGAAAAAAAATTTGTACTGAAAGGTATACAAATTTTTACATAATTTTAAAGAGTGTAATTTTATATGGAAAAATACAAAATTTGAACAAAATTGGCAGAAGAATTCGAATTTTAAGAAAATCAAACAATTAAAATTTGATTTCTCAGAAATTGTTCGATCGATATCGTTCAAATTTTGTATTGAGAACAAAAATTATCGGGATTAAGAAAAGTGGAAATTTAAACAACTATATAAGATGACACGTTTGTATAAAATTTAAAGATTAGTAAGCAGTGAAAAAAAAAAAAGAACAAAAGATCATTTCTAAATTTTTTTTATAAAAATCAGAATTGACTAGCTGGAAAAAAAAATCATAACAAAAGTGTAAGTGACATTCATATATTCCGACTGACACAAATATTGGGGATGGAAACTTCCTGCGAAAATAAAAAAATCAAAATAAAACAAAACAAAAACAGCTAAGCAGTGAGCAATTTATGGGACGATATATAATGGACAGAGTTACTTGTCACATGCACACCTGTAGCAGGGTTACTACACCCGTCACAGAGAAAGAGATAAGGTACAGGTAAAACAAAATTACCAGAGAGTGAAAAAGAATCTCTTCGTCAAAAAAGCAGACGATATGTTTATAGAAGTTTTTTTTCACTTCAACGAGTGGCAACGTTGAGATAAATACCTTAACAACAGTATGTCAAAGAAATGTCTCAGGTAGAGACTATTAAATTTTAGAGAATATTTAATATTCAGAATTTTCTATAAAACAAAGACGAAATATGTGTAAAATGAACGTATTCGAAATATGCATAAAATCAGCATGTACGAAATATGTATAAACGGACATGTACAAAATACGTAAAAACGAGATTTCGATTGAAGCCTTATTTTATAATCTATTGCTCTGTCATAATATGTTAAAACGAATAATATGTTAATCTAAAAACGTGTCTCAACCTGTTTTATTATGTTCTCCAACAAAAATTTAAAAATCAGGAAAAGCTTTCAAGAAGCCGCCATTTATAGAATATTTTTCCTTCAAATTTTACAGTATGTATTTTTAATTATATAAGGCTATGGACAATGTTTGGTGGCAAATTATAACTAAGCGATATTATATATGTTGAGCAACACATTTAACGGCATATTTTAACACATTTCTTAAATGCTGAAGATAACTTAATTTAGCAAGATTTTATTTTTATTTTACAATTATTATTCAATGAACATATATTTCCTTTAGTTTTTACTTATAATTTTTAAATCTATTTTATTTTGAAGATTGTCTTACAGTTGGTAATTATAATTACTTAATGCAAAAAATAAATTTATTCTTGGCAAACTTATAGTTGAAAAATTGAACCTTTCTAAAACTTCAGCAGCGAATGAGAAGTACCATTTGCTTCTATGGTCTGAATATCAATTTATAATTTTATTTTTCTAGACATGTTTTTTTTTTATCAATTACTATAAGTTCATTAAAGTCTTGTAGTTTTTGAAAGGACATTTTGGTTATATTTCATACACATTTTTAATGTATAGTTAAAATTATCAGAAACTCAACAGTGGGTCTCGAAATAGTTTTATCAGGGAGAGATCAATACAAGTATGGGCTCTCGGCCTACCAAATGTTCCGGACCCCTCACAAAATATTTTAAAATCAACTCACTGNAAAAAAAAAAAAAAAAAAAAAAAAAAAAAAAAAAAACGCATGTTTTTTTTTTAGCTTTTACGCGAGCTTGGTTGTAACCCGATGCAAAACAAAATTAAAATAAAGAAATAAATGCAAATATATTTTTGGGGTAATTTCTTTTTAGGATTAAAAAAAACTCAAATGAAAAAATACTTATAATTTTTTTATAGCTTTCTTACAAATTTTCGAAACCCATCAGAAATCACGGGAGCCTGAACTCAAATCTATAGATCCTCGCCTAGGCGGTAAATCAGACTTAGGGTCTGATTACCAAATGTTTCAAACGCTACGAGTAAGGATATATCCGGATAGAAAACTCGAGTTATCACTACAATGATTGAGAAATAAGACGTTAGAATCAACGTAAGTGGAATGTGGAGGTGGAATTAAAATCAATTTATAACATACAGCTGAACACTTTTTCTTAAAAAAAACCAAAGATTGAACAAATATCAAATCCGTTTCCTGCTATCATCAGGGAATTCGATAAAAGTCTGAATAAGAGCAATTAAGAAAAAAAAAATCATAGTTTAAGTATGGAATCATAGTTTAAGTATGAAATCATAGTTTAAATATGAAATTCATGATTTTTTAAATCATAGTTTTAAAAAATCATACTTAATTTCACTGTGTTTAAAAACACAGTGAAATTAAGCATTAAGAAAATTTTAAATCATTATAGCATAGTCTTTACAGCATTTTCAAATTAATCAAAAATAACTAAACGTAACATTCATCGCCGCTCTACAAAAATCTCAAATCAGTGCAACTTAAATGATATTTAACAGTCATTTTCGTCTTACACCAATCTTAAATCAGTCCAACTGAATTAGGTTTAACAAAGATAGAAAATTATTTCGCTGCTTTATGTTTACGAAGATTAATTATAGCACCGAAAAATAAAGATCATTTGTAAACAGCCAAAATGTCCAAAGAGTTATTTAAATTTGTAAATTTTCTAGTTTTCCTTCAAACGTAATTTACATTAATAATTAAGAACTTGCAGTATTCCACTTATAGCAAGCACACAAAAGGAACAAAAAAAGACAGTTATATTACAATCCAGCATTGAATACAAATGCTATTATTTTCCGGTTACAGGTACTCAAAGCAGCAGACACAATTATAAAAATATTCAATTCTCGGCTGAGGAAATTGACTCCACCCATTCAGCGGCCATCGGTACAGAAGATTCCACACGTGCTGACGACCTTCGAAGAGCCTACCTTGCCTGAAAAGACTCTTCGTGACCGACGGCCGTCAGGGCTGACCGCACACCTCGTCACTGTCATATGGAAGTATAAGACCAAAGCATATAAGGAATAGTACATTAACTCACTAAGATGCACAATGAAATAAGCACATTCGATTGAATGCCATTTAAAAAAGATGAGTAAGCATACGAGATAAAATGCTCATTTAGTCAATGACAAAGAACATCTTACGTTTTCATCGTTTGTCCTGCCTATTATTCAACGATTCTATACTCAGCGGTGTTTTTTATTTGAGTAAAGAGAGAAACATCAAATTGTCAACCTATCTTGGACAATATCAAACGTAGCTGCATTGTATTTGTATAACAATCATACATACTAATATATACACCCTTGTGCAAATTAATTGAAACAAACTTTTTTTTCGTGTTTTTTAAAGAAGATGTTTTGGGGTTGTTTCGGTTACAATGGGGTTGGACCTTTGCAGCCTATTGACGGTATGATGCGTTCTGAGCAGTACATTACAATGTAAAAACTTANTTGTATAAATTTAAATAAAATAGCATTTTCTCTTAGTTTCCTGAATTTATTGAGTTTGTTTCAATTAATTTGCACAAGGGTGTAAGTGTGGTAAAAAAGTGTTGGTAAAATCAATTAGATATTTTAATTAATGCGTAAATATGGAAATTAAACTTTTTAAGGTAAAATACATTTCTGAAGTATGTGTAATGATCAAGGGCGCCGGCAGAATAATATAAAAGGGGGTGCAACCCTCTAACAAACTACCCTCCCCCCTAAAAAAAGTAAAAATATTCCGTTACATTTTGTTTTGTTATTACATATACTTTCATCTGTTAATTTTTTCCATCTATTTTAATAGAGAAAATTCTTATGAATCCCTCGAATACATCGATTTAGTTATTCGGGCCACACCGTTTTATCCAGCTGTAGCGGAGGCGGTCAAAATTGTCCTAACTCTTCCAGATACTACGTGCACTATTGAACGCACTTTTAGTACAATGCGACGCATCAAAACATGGAATCGGTTTACAATGTCTCGCGAGAGATTAAGTAGTTTGTGCATGCTCAGTGTATATAAGAAAAGATGACTCAGAATTCATTGAATAAGTTATAAACAGATTTGGACAGCTAACAAGACGATTGCAATTCTTGTTTGATTATGCAATTTTTTAATTGTTATGTATCAATAATTACTTAATTATTTGTTCTTGAATAAAAATATTTTTAATAAAAAATTTTTATAACCAAATTTTTTTCTGTTTCTTCAATTGTTTAAAAAAAAGCCAGGGGGGTGCAAGTGCACCCCCTTGCACCCCGCTGCCAGCGCCCTTGGTAATGATCGAAATGAAATGATTTGATGAAACGAAAAAGAAATCTTAGTTTCAACATGCGTCCTGGGTTTATGATTCCACTTAGCAATGATGGTTATATAAGTTATAAGACGTATGCGTCACATAAATGTGAAGATTGGTTAATCTATCTTCGACTGTATCAAGCATAGCCGTATGGTATTTATATATATATAGCAATCATATATTTAAAGTGTAGGTAAAATCGAATAAATAGAATTAAAAACTGTAGAATGCACATCTTTTGTCTCTGCAATTTAACAAATGACGAAGCAAATGTTTCACCCAGGCTAAGATTTAATGATTTCGCTTCAACGTAGTTTTTATTTTGGAGAATAAAACGTCAAATATGAATAAAGAGATAAAAATAAAATCGAGGTTTTACGTGCGGTATACTACGTGAGAATGCGGAATCTCACCATTGATGTAGAAAACAAACTTACCATCTGCTACTAGTCTCAAAGCAATCTTAGCTATGTTCTGTACTTGTTTCATAGACATGTCTGCTGAGTTATCCGTGTCTATTGCTAGATCTAAAACCAGTTTAGGAAAAGATGCAAAGTTTTTGAGTAATTACCAAATGTATATTAGTTTATTTTAAATCATATTTTAACAGCAGATTTCATATGGATAACCCCTGAAGTCAAAGAAGCATAAATTTGAATAAATCGTATTTCGTATATTATCGCAATTAAAAAAAACTATAAACTTTTGAAAATCTTGTTCATTTGTAACTTTTATGCAAAATACTAAAAGGTACATACTAAAATACACGCAAAATACTAAAAAATACATACTAAAATACACGCAGAATACTAAAAGGTACAGACATGAGTCATGCTTTTCTATGTAAAGGGAAACAATTCTCCTATTCGTCGTTCTCATCTTCAATAGTAAAGAAATCGGAATATAGCTATCAAAATATTAAATATCAGTAAAATAAAAATTATTGTAGTCAGGGGTGTCCCATAAAACGCCAGGAGAAAATTATGATTAGAAAAATAAATCTTTTAAAAATATAAGTTTTTACAGAATCAAATGCATCACCCTACTTTTAGTCAATGTGATTACTTTTTTTATCTGCACGTGTAAGTTGTTTTCAAAAGCTAGCCAACTTGTAGCAATAAGAAAACTAATATAACTCCGTTGGAAGAAAACAATTTTCAAAAAAACACACAACAGAAAATGTAACATAATCTGTCGCACTTACTTTAGCTTATGTTTTAAGAACTTTACTGGTTCAAAAAGTATTCTAAACACAATGTGACACAAAATCTAGAAACTAAATAACATATATTATTTTTAGATCCACTACAGCATGTGTAAGCAGTTGATGTTACTTTTATAATTTTACTTAATTTGAACCAATTTCTTCATTTAAGTTCCTGCTTTCAGCATGGTAAATGTCATTAGCCCTAAATCACTTGTAACTATGTTTCTTACGATTTAGAATTCAAAATAACCTTATTAAAATGGCACAAACGTCCAACTTAATTTTCAGGCGTTACATCCACGCTATACATCGTATTTGTTTCAAACTAATAATGGAGTGCAATAATCAGCATTCATTTCTGAGAACTGTTGGTTCCATTAAATCTCAATTATCCTCTAATGTAATAAAAACAAATAAGGGTACCCTTATCTTTGTTATATTTTGCATCGATATATATATATAGTAAATAGTATTTCCATATATATAACAAGAGAGGCATGGAAAAATTATTGATTGAAAACTGTAAAACAGCTCGATGATATATTTTCGTTTCGTTATGTAAAGTCCATGCTCAAATAATAAACATGAAAATAAAACAAAATAATGCCACATCTAGAATAAATTTTGATATATTGATACCTTAAATATACTAATGATATTTTCATTTACGAAACCAAACACTAAAAAATTAACTCATTCATAAGCGTACCTTTTTAGCGAAAGATTCGGTTTTTTTTATACACAAAACGTATAAGTTGCCACATTCTGGAAAAAATAATCCCAATTGCTTGGAACCCTAGGGCTCCATGAAAGGAGTTAAAGGCGTTCCGCGAGTTAGTACTTTTCCTAACCAGTGATGAGTTATAAAACCTCTGATTGTATTAAGACCCAACCTATTATTCATAATTTATTTAATTTTTCGGTTGCCTTTACAAAATTATTTCAAGTAAAATGCCAATGAAATAGAAATGGCATTTTTTAAAAATATATATAATATTTTTGCTAACAATATATAGAACAACAAATTACGAAAAAAGAAACATTTAAGAAACATAGCTTTAATATTCAAATCAAAATAAAATAACTTCTTTAATAACGAAACGTGTTTCCCTTTTTACCCTTTTCAAAATTTATAGCAGTTATTTTATATTTTCATCTCGAAGTAAACCATCATTCTGCATATTTGATTCATTTTCAACTTCTGTATGTACACAAGTAATAATAATAATAATTTTTAATTGGGCTAGATATAGTACAAGGACTGCAAATTTAACCGTCGGACTAAAAACCTGATTTAAGATTCTTAATGATAAAACGACTTTATTTATAAAGTCGGTGTAAAGTCGGAAAGAAGATTGATTATTTAGGGTTCCGTAGCCGAAAAAAAATTTGGAGCCGCTGAAATAGGGCACCATATTCTTTCTATTCCGATGTGATGTATTTCGCCTTGCCAGAAGAGCAATGTATGAAATAAAGATAAACTCTAGGTAATAATTCTTTCATTCCTTGACTTCACAAGCAAAAGTACCGTAAAGGATTTGTAAATCACTTAAGAGTGATGTATGTGTATGACAACTAAACAGCCATGCCCAACCAACAGAACATAAGTAATCACATAACAAAAGCTATCCTTCGTATTATGGAATTCCAATTCCGTGGTATCTTGGCAGTTTGATATAACCCCTTCCTCTACCGCTGTTCTTTTGTCCAAGATGCTGGAAATGTCCATCAAATAAGATAGCCATTGTGAAATGAATTATAACAACGCGCCTTTCACGTGTTCTTTTTTTTATAGCTGATTTATGGAATGCATTTTTTAATCTCTCACTTCTACATCTAAAGAATGTTCGTGTAAAATAACCAATTTATTTACTAATCCTAATACAATCGAAGGAGTTTCACTTTTTTTTTCTTCAAATCAATATAATTTTACTGTATTTTATAAAATCCAGTTACGAGAAACGTCCTTTTCTTAAAATTCTACCTAATTTACATATGCCCTTCAACGATAAATGGACAAATGGTATTACTTGGTATAAAACTGCCTAAGTTATACATTAACTTATATCCTTGGTATGAAGTTTTTGTGTCATTCAGTTCCAAATCCAAAAATTTGAAAATTATAATATCAAAGTGAACACATTGGAATACCATTGTGGGCAAGGAAATTGCCAATTCAGTGAGACATTTCAATAACTTTCCTTAAGATTTTGTTAATCTAATAGGCAAGCGGAATAACAAATATACTAAGCATACATTTATGCATATTTATTGTCATTTTATACTCAACACTATGAAATAAGTCATCGTTCTTTATAAAAATGAGTCAATAAAAATAGGCATAGTTTTTTTAAAAATTTGTACTCTGATTTGTCGCTTTTTCCATCCTACCTTTTTGTGCGATCGCAACTCATACATAAAATATGTAATTTAAAATATGTATATGAATACTTCACTGCCTACTGAGTTTGAATAGCTTTGAGTAGCTGATTGCTGAGTTTGGGTCAAGTTGCTGGTCTGGTCTCGAGTTCGAGTACTTGGATGAGGAAATGGACAATATTACTACCTTGGATTTAACTTAACGGAAGTACCTCTGAAAGGATTTATGCTGTGGCCATATGCGTTTCTTATAATAACTAGAACCGTTTATTGTTGAATTTTTTACATATTGTTCTTCAACGGCTCTGTAGTGTTGACCGACAACAAATGTTATTCATTTTGTTTTATTGAGTTAGTTTTATCCTATTGAGTTTGTCCTATTGCAGCCATACAACCTGGTTTAGGATTTACGATAAAATGGGACATTGCGGGTATTTGTGAGAAACTGTATTACATCCACGAAAATTTACTAGTTGCGTTGAATATGCATAGCTATGTCATGATCCATTACACAATAAATGTAACATTCTTAAAAAAAGAGGGGGGGGATGTAATTTTAAGTTTGATGTCATGTTGCGGACAGCTACATCAATAGAAGAAAAAACACGTCGGATCATTATATAAAAATATAAAATGGTTTTTAATGAGAAAAGTTTTTTGTTAACAATTCCTATTGCTGTATTTTCTAAAGCTGACAAAATGTAACTTAGAATTTAATTTCACTAAATCTTCCAGTTTATTTGCATATGAAAGTTTTCGCGATTACGTAATCCGAAACGGTAATTCTTAAGCCAGTGATTTTAAAAAAGAAGGATACAGTTCAGCATGTCTTGAATGGAGTGGATTTCGTCGGAGTGGTAGAATTTCTGAAACTCTTTCCGGATGTCGAAGAAAGAGTAGTAGTAGTGTGGCAAAGTGATGTCTTTCTGGCATGCCTCAGGATGAAGGACTTGTCGGAGATGAAGTTGACCATCCGTCACCAGCTGGAAGGAGTGGCCGTTGTCCGTACTCAGTTTGGCTTTTACAAACTGGTCGATCTGGAAACAGATTAAATATTCATTATTTGAAATAATGCAAGAACACAGAAGTGATAAATTGCGAGAATGCTATACCGCGGGAGAAATATTTCATCGATAGTTCTCTTTCATTGCATAAGTAATTTAAAATTTAAAGAAGAAGTGAGTTCAGGCGAACCGAAAGTAAGCCATAAAGTTTTAAATGCTTGAAAAATAAATTCAAAATATCAAAATGCGAACAAATTAATGGAAGAAAATTTCCCTATTGTGTAATCCTACGTTATCCTCTCAGGATCTGCTTTCATTTTGATATTTTGAAAATTTCTTTTCAGTATTTAAAACTTCATGGTTTACTCTAGAATCACCTGATCTCACTTTTTCTAAACTTTGAATTTTGAATTACTTATGGCGGTGAAAAACAATTAGCGATGAAAAGTTTTTTCCGTGATATAGCGTCCTTTCAACCCTACAAACATACATCTAATCCATATGTTTTTGTGTGTAAGTGTTAACTTATGCGTATAAGTCTTCTTTTTTTTCTTTCAAAATAACTTCAAATTTTAAAGATTTGTGCTCTCCTTGTTAAAGCAGTTTTGGTCTGCCAACACCCATGAAATATTTATCTAATTTATATGATAACACACATGAATCTAAAAAATTATTTTTTTAAATAATTTTCTAATTTTTAAGAATTGGGGGGGAGGGGCTTAAAAGAAGAGCATATTGGTCTAGTGCAATCCTCAAATCTACCTCGGGCTCGATATAAAAACTTCTATAAATTTAAGTTGAACATGTAAAAGTTGTACAGTGCATATTTCTTTGACTCAAAAACATACAGAAAAAAATTGAACGATAAACAAACAAGGAAGAAAAAAAAATTGCGATTTTCTTTGGTCTTTTGGAGCCCTTAAATTACAGCCTATTTGGTCTATAGACTAATAATGTCGATAGACAAACTGCGTAATGTGGACTTCAGTATATTATTACGTGTATTTGTACAAGTCATATAGACATAATAAAATCTATGCAGAAATTACGTTTAGTCTTGAAGTTAACTACAATCGCTTTATCGGCGGTATATTTAATAGTTTTTATTCTATCTTCAACTTGATCACATACAAGTGTTCCCTGTAGTTATTCTATTCGATTAAACATAAATAAACTATAGATAATATGCGATTATAAAAATATACATTATATATTATTAACTATATATTAAGGTCTTTATAGAACATTCTATATATTATTTGTAAATTGTGTAGTCTAGGAAATCCAGCCTCGACACCAGAGCGTGGTTAGGTTGTGTATTTGTTTTATTTTCTTAAATATTCGCGAATAAAATTTAATCTATAATAGCTCGCTCTTATTATCATTTTTTTTTTTTAAAAATTATTTATTTCACTGTCCTCAGGCCTACCTCACTAAATTTCCCTGAAACTATTCTTACTTCACAGCATAAAATAAATAAAAAATTCTATTCTACTCGCAACGTCTCTAGTGATGTGAATTCTTTTAAGCATGTTTAAAAACATTCAAATGCAAAAATTATTAGAATAGAAGATTGAGCATTATGATTAAGGAATGAAGAATGCAATGAAGCGAGAAATGAACGAATGCCGGTTGAAAGAACATCTGATTCATTCCAATACCAGCATTAGTTTCAGATAATCGAAGTGAAAAAAAAGAAAACAAAATTACAACGCAGAGAAAAGTATACAAACGCATATAGGAATAACAAGCATCCAAGAGACGGTGCTATCTGTAAACATCTTTTTAGCAGTCACAGTTTCAAGAGAATACGGTCACGGTGAACTGCATCTGAGATATATCAATTCGAGCGTGAAACGATCCTTTTTTCTCAATGAATCAATTAACGGCTAAAAAATAAAATAGAACCAAGTTGAGTTGTAGACAGGAAATTGCTGTTGTTCTACCATCCGTTTTCCAAGAAACGCTTGAATGCATAAAAAGATGCAAATGAAAAGTTTGTTCATATTTTTATGCTCCAAAGATTGAGTGAAATTTTTAAGTTAAAATAAATAACAATTAGTCATCATTTCGTAAAACGATGAATAAGTAAAAACTGATAAAGAACTATTGATCAAATACAAATGAAAAGTATGTTCACATTTTTACGCTCCAAAGAACGAGTGAATTTAAGGTAAATAAATAGCAAATTAGTAAATCAAATCACCAAATAATGAATAGATAAATAATAATAAACAACTATTGATGAAAAAGTTTGTTCCCATTTTATACTTCAAAGAGTGAAGAAATGAAGGTAAATAAATAACAATGTTCAAAAAAATATCACTCAGTAAAATCTATATATATAATAAAATAAAGAATGTATGTGTGTCTGTGTATGTCTACATATCTGACTGCCGGTATATGGTTGGGGTTAAAAATACGACATTCCACATGAACCTAAATTAGTACAATTTTATACAAATTACGTAGCTCGAATTTCTATTTTTTTAAAATTATATTTTCAAATCGGAGACAATTAAAAAAATAGAATATTTTCATTCGCTTAGCGGAAGCCATTGTTTTTAACTAAACTTAACAATTCAGTTTTGTCAAAAGTTTGAACTACAAAACCTTGAATTCCGTGAAATTTTAAAATTTCTCTTAGATTAAGAATTAAATAAAAACTAACATGGGTCTTCAAAAAAAAAAAAAATGACAGCTTAGAAAAAGAAGCTCTTGATAAAAAAGCAATAAGTTAATTTCACGAACTATATTGAAAAGTTTTCCGAATATTTTAATACCTGCTTTCTTTCAATAAATTTCCACATTTCCGCACCGTTTTAAAAAATCAAATCAATAAATCAAAAAAAAAAAAATTTTTTTTTTTACTAATATAAAAGAAAAATAAATATTTAATCAAGATTTCATATAACTTTACACTAAAAATGCTTTTTTAATAACCATTATTCACAAATTCTATATTGACATAAATAATATAAATATGATCAGATTAGATTTGAAAATTATTCAAAAAGTAATTAAAAACCAGGTCAATCTCTATCGCCTTCCACAGAATGATTACACGCTCTAAAATTCCTAAAAACAGCTGAATCAAGCGAATTAGTACATCTGTTTTTCCGCCAGGGGTCATAATTATGCTCATCATTTAAAGGCAGACGGTCAAAGTCAAGGCTAGTCTCGTCATTGTCAAGTGAAACGTAGGAGATTTAATGTAATGGTGTTAACTTCCTACATTAATTGACGACAGTCAGGAATTAAAAAGGATAATCTGGCTGAAATAGTTACATAGAGAAGAAAGAGATAGTAAATAATGTTGTAATTTAAACTACGAAACGACTTTGAATTGAGTGTATGTCAAAATCAGTTTATCTAGTCAGAAATTTGATATGAGCAAACGATTATTTCGAAGATAATTGTTTTATTTATTTTTTTTCCTCCTAACTGTACATAAATAAAGATAAACAAACAACTGACAAAACAAACTGTTTTAATTCTCTTTGTTGTTATAATTTTTTTTTGTTTCTTATTTTTGTACGTTTATTATTAGTAACGTTATTTACTTCTTTTTTTGTGAAGTTAAAAAATTTAAGAGCAAGTCTATAGGTTTTCTCTAAAATGAAAACAATTCGTAAAAAAAAATATATAGTTCTAAAAATAAAAATAAAAAAATAAGGAAAAGCCTTTATTTCTGAAGAAAAAAAAAAATTTTTTTTTTTTTAGGGCAGATAAAATCTTTTGATCATCGACCTCTAAATTTTTATAATTCTCTTATCAACCCCCTATTTAAAAAGTGGAAAAAAAAATTCCTGATTCTTACCTGATTTATTTCATTTATATTTTGAAAAAAAAATCAAAGAATTTACTTAAATTAAAGTTAAAAATTATTTAAAGTATGTAGGAATATTAAGCTATAAAAGAACACTAACTTCAGACATAATATTCTCTCAATTTAACTTGTACATGCCTTTATTTTCATTTGATAGATTCCATTTATGAAAAATTATTAATCCTAATTCGTATTTTGTTATTTAAAATTTAATCTATTTCTTAAAAAAAAAGATAAATCATTAAAAAGAAAATATACTAGAATGAGAAGTTAAAGGAGGTATATTATATCATAAAATCCTTACTTACTTAATTGTAATAACAAAAAACATTCTTAACGAAAATTGTACATACGGCGTTGGTGCCAAAAAGTTTGCGATTGAATGGCATTGGTATTCATTCACTGACCCTAACACCGACCTGTGATTTAAACGAAAATAATGAATAACCGCTTTTTAACTAAATTTATGCGCTATAACTCAAATACTAGTTTAAACCACTGTAAATGGAACAAATTCGATTAGTTTTTAATGAATGAATTTTGTGAGGCCAGAAAAGTTCTTGAGCTGATTGAATCAATAAAGAAAACATTTGTCGCATTCTGTATCTCGTTAAAAAAAACACAAATCTTATTTTATTTATTTATTTATTTTTTTACTGTTTACGGCAATAAAAATGCTAAATTAAAATTATGAGTATCCTCATTCACCTCGAATCATGAGTACACGATCCTTTTTCGAAGACCCTAATTAATAACTGAGGATTCCAGAAAAAATGTGCTTTACTGATCTTATGCCTTCTCAACCTTGTATTTTAATATTCAAGTATACGAACTTCTCTGATTTTTCACTTTCTCCTACTCCCCATATTTTCTTATTTACTCCCCATGTTTTCTTATTTAATTTCTTATTTACTCCCCATATTTATTTTATTTTATTTTTTTATTTACTCTCCATATTTTCTTATTTACTCCCATATTTTCTTATTTAATTTCTTGTTTGCTGCTTAATGGCTGAAATAAACCTTATTTTAAGAATTTTTTAGGTATTATAGATTAGTGATTTGCCCTTAAGATATATTTTCTTTGTTTTTTCACTTTGCGACTAGGTAGAAGTTATTTTTATTTTTATGAAGAAAAAAAGAAACTTTCATAGAATATTTAATTAAAAAAAAGCTCTGGAAAAAATAGTAAAAGCAATGAAATT